CAAAGCAATCCCAATGTTGGCTTGAGATACTTTCAGTTTATCATCACGTCTCTTTCCACTTTCATTAATTGCAGAAAAAAATCACCTGCAGTGTTTTGCAGTTTTCAGATTTTCTGATACAGGGAGGCAAGCAGGTCTCAGGAAGGAGCTCTCCAAATACTCGGGCATTAGAGTGTATTTGCAATTTTTCACAGACATTAGCATCTAAAAACGTATGTCCAACAAGGGAACTTTAGTGTTATCATCTAGATCTAACAAAACAAAAACTGGTTTCAGGATATACGTTGTTTTTCAATAAACCAGTGAAAAAACTTTTCACTGAAAGGTAGGTTTGTTTGATACAACAATAACCATTTTTTGCGGTCATCATAGCAAAATATCGCACGGGGGTAAAAAGGGTTCCGCGAGATCTGCTTTTTTCACCATATTTACTTTTATTTTTCTTCACGGGGGAATAAACATAATGTCGTTGTGAGTTCGCTTGGAGTGCATAGGGGGACTTATATAATTTGACTTCTGTAACGTCCAGATCTTTTGGATGGTTTCTTAAGTTCATCGCGTTCTCGTTTCCGGGATTTCCTAAATGCCTTCTTCTTCCTTTGCAATTGTCAAATTTTATATTCAATATAGTCTTCCTCGTCATCTCCTGAACACGAGGATGGCGATGTTCCACTTTAAGGAAAAATTTCAAACATGTTTTCTTCTTGGTAGAAAAATTAATGAGGTTATGTGGTGTGTACTGGGATAGGTAAGACCGAATCGATACCGAAATGTTTCAGTACAATCTTTAAAGTTGTAACCTCTTGGTGTAAAGTGGGTTGACTACATATCTTTACTGATCTCGTTAAAAAGTCGCGAATATAAATAAATTTCCAAAATTCAGAGGCCGCCTTTAAACGTAGTAAAATCATGTGCCGCTCGCGGCGAATGGTGCACCGCATTGCACCTGATTGTCAACTTTTGTTGTCGGCTGCGGGGAAAGGGCCGATAGGGGCGGACGCGCAGATTTAATTTGTACAATCGTAAATTTGACAATCAAGTAAACAATGGTCGGTTTATCGCGATGTTCAGATTTTGACTTTATGGCGGACAGTTTGGTGGAAATCGCCGCTAATAAACGAAAATATATGGAAGCCATTGTTCGTTGCCGGCGCGGCCACTATTATAGTTATATCTGTATTCTGCAGATTTAATGGGCCCACAACGTTTCGTCATTTTTGGAGTAATTGAAAGAGACGTTTGTAAATTGATACCGTTTTGGATGGGGCAGTCATTGTGCCGATCCGGACGTATATCGGGTTAATTCGATATCGACTTTTGTAAAGCAATTTCGGATTTTTAATTTCCGTTAATGGTTATTTAGTGTTGGCGGGATCCTTTGTTCGTCCCCTCCCCCCACGTTTGACGAGAATGAATTTCCGATGATTGCTGCAGTTGCGCTTTTTCAAATCGTTGAGTTTGACTATTCTCAATAACGGGTGTCTCTAAAATCTTTCTCCTACAGTTGCTTATCTATTCATACCGGCACGTTCTATTCATATTTCTAATTGATATGGCTAGTATGAGTTTAAATGACAATTCAAAAGTATTAAAATGAAAAAAAAGGAAACATAATACTGATAAAATGATTTTCTTCTGATATACCATATCATTTTTTCTTGAATTTTTTAGATTTGTTTGATGAGATTGTTTAGTAACTATTACCATGTAACCATTACTATGTAAATAATTGTATGTTGTCACAGTAGGGTTATTAATATCCTTTGCAGAAGAGATCTTTGGATGGATGGATGGATAGATGGATCTTTGAACTAGTTGGAAACGAGTAATACAAACCAAGATCTTAAACTATTGTCAATATACTTTTTCTGAATTAAATAACAGTTATTCCTTGAATACTTTTAAAAGAAAAATGAACAGTAGACTTAACAGATTTTTTCTTAAGCTAATAATATCTGGCCTATTAATAATTATCGGATAACCCGACTTAGTTACAGAAGAAAACAATTTTCTTTGGTGAACTATTTTAGCACTACTCAACCTAAACACTGTGTAATTTATCACAAAACAAATAAACAAAAAAAATTTTTCGTTTAAAAATAGCTACTAATATTATCCGCAAAATTAGTGAGAGATTGTATCTACCGGGCTTCAGTTTCGGAAATCTGCCTCGAGCTAATTTGGGGCATCGTTCCGCGAAAAAACAGAGGCTTTTCCAGTCACCGATTTTAATACTTCATTCAGTTATTGGCGTTTTTCAACCCCACCACCTCCACCCCCACCCCCCTCCGACCAACCCTGCCCGGTGGCGGTAATTCAAACATTTAAAAATGTGAAAGGCCCGACAGTGTTATCGCGGCAAATTGCCCGGGCAAAACGTAGAACAAACGTTCCGCCAGCCCCAAAACAAAAACAAAATCTAATATAAAACGCACAATGGCCTAATAAAACACAATCGAAAAACAAAAACTGCAATTATATACATGACAATATATCGCCGGAACGGTCGCAACGTAATACAGTTAAATATATTAATAATTGCAAACAATAAAAGTGGATTATTTTGCATGGGTGCCCGTTGCAATATTTCAACGTGCCTGGAAAACCGACATATAAAACAATGGGGGTGGTTTGCGGGCGGCCCGATGAGGGGGCGGAGGCGAGCCGCTCACAATGGGACCCACGGTCGTTTTCGGTTTCGCTTCGGACAATGTATATTTAATTTCGGCAAACGTTATACGTACGTAGTACGTAATACGTATGCGTGTTGTTGTTTAGACCCATCTACTTAATGAGCTCGATTTAACTCTGGTCGGCCAATCCCCGTGAGGATTATGTTCGGGTAGATGCCCCTGCGGCGATTCATTCTTGGCTGTTGAGTCATGCCTCAAAAATGAATTAGTAGGATCTAAGTACTACAACAAGAATCGTGACTAATTATTTGATAAACTTCACCGAGTATAAAACTTTATGAGTATGAATAGTAAATGGTGTTTTATTTATGAGTCAATTCTGGTTTGTGTTTCAAAGACAATTGGACTGCGTACTGTGCAGTGGAGACCTTCTAACAGCATAACAACATTGGAAAAAACAAGGGTTGAGGTTGAGGTTGAGTCGGACATTTTTCTATTTTAAAGCTGAACTACTTTCCATGCACTATACTTTCCATTTGATAAAAATTAGACTTCTCACAGTCAATTTTGAAAAAATAGGTATGTTTTTCTCGAGTTATGATCAAGTCAATACCTTCAAAAAAAATTTACATGGTTTAAAAGATCAGAGGAATTTTACCCAAAACTCTTTAAGTATTTGAAACAAATGCCCTTAAAATAACCTGGATTTTTTTTGTTCATTAGAACAAACGCACCTTATTTTCGGAATTATCAGTTGGTAAAGCGATATACACAAAAAAAATTCAAGAGTTCTTTTATTAAAAGGAGGTAAAAACAAGATTTTTCCAACCGACTCGTGTATATAAAATAATCTTAGGATTCTACAAAAAACTGATTTGAACTTCTTACATTCTAATATGTGGAAAACTAGTTTTCTGTGCTTTCCCCCATAATATTTAATAGTTTTGAGAACAAAGTAGGTATTAACAAGCAGAAATGGAAATGCCAACGAGCAAAACTGAGTGACGTGAAAAGAGAACTGCCACACAAAAAATACAGTTTTGTGCGATTTTGCATTGCCTGCGTTTTTTTTTGTGAATTTATTAATCCCTAGTTTTATTTTTTGTAAATTTTTTATTATTTATTGGGAAATATTATTATTTGCTACTAAGCTGAACCATGCCGTGATGATCATTTCTGCTCTAATAACTCTGTTTTGTCGAAAAGAGACTTATACTTTAATCTACATGTAGTATGTAACCAGCTGCAGCTTAAAGAAAAACGTCAAATATCGCAGAAAGAATTTGTATTAAAGTTTTTGTTTATTTGGCGCAGCTAAAGCAAATTACCAGTTGTTGTGTCACGCAATAATAGCTTCCCAAAGACAAAAGACAAAACACCAATTGTTCTGATACCCGTTCACATTTCGCAATTCTGATTGAGTTAAGTTTGGGAGCCTTTTGCAAAAGATGCATCAATCATCCAACAACTGTGACAGATAATAATAATAATAATAATAATAAACGACTTTTATTTCAGATATCATAACAAACATACAATACAGAGGCCAATTAGTTGTAGCTACCCTACTGAACCAGGGCCTGACACAACAAAAATTAAAAAAGAAATTGATGATGACGCGCTATCCCAGCTACGAATTATTAAAACAAAAAGCAAACAGAAAAAATCTCTACAGCAAATTATGTAGATGCAGTAATTCTTTGTTGTATTTAATTTTAAACGTATTATGATTTAAATTTTTAACACCTTATATTCCCTTTGAAATATGCTTTTTAAATGTTCTTTAAATCTTAGCTCGCTGTCTGAACAAATACCCAAGTTTTTAGCATTATTAAAGGCTAAGCACTTAATCATCAATTAAAATATTTAAAGAATTTTTGATCCTACTCATCTTATTTTTATTTCCAAAAAGTAATAATGCAGATTTTGTAGGGTCTAACATCAGATTATGGCTTTTGCAGAATTCAAAGTGCGTAAATCGTGATTCGTGTTTTGTTCTACCTCCAAAAGATCATAATCATTAAAACAATAATAAATTTGTGCATCGTCGGCAAACACTTGAATTTTACAGAAAGTGATTTTAGAATGTCCGAAGTACGCACAATAAATATGGACCGCTTTGGCACCTCGGAGAGGATATTATTTGTTTTCTATTATTCAGATATGATGATATAAGAGTAAACAATTCCGTAGAAAATCCATAACATTTTAGCTTTGATTTTAGAAGTTTCGTTCTATTTGTGTCCCAGACTTCTTCTTAAAAGCACATTCCGTAAGTGAGTCAATATTGCCAAAAAAAATCAGCCACGATTGAATCCTCATTACGGTTCATACTACCCCAACCAGATCATTGCTGTTTATACTAACCTGTGGTTGCACTGTTGACAAGCGAAGCACTCCAAATGGTACACGTTGCTTCTGGCCCTCATAACCATTTCAAAGGCGGGTATTACTTTGCTGCACGCGGCACAGTAGCCGGTATTTCCAAACAACCTCAGATAATCCCTTTTGCACAGTATCAAATTGGCCTTGGTGTAGAGGGTGGATCCGACCTCGCCCAATCGACAGTCGCAACAGCCGCACTTTAAACAATCTTCGTGCCAAAACATGTCGAGCGCTTTCAGCAGGTAGCGTTCTGTGATCGGTTTGCAGCAGCCAGCGCACTCCTGCGGTCCCCCGGAGCTTCCGGGCTTCGCCGCTTCGGTTTTCGATACGTCCATCGTCATCATGGGCCCGTTAGGCCTGCTCTTTATCTGCAAACATAAAAAAACGCGATCAGAACAAGACTGACTTGGGAAAATCTTGGCTACTCTGTACTATGCACTTCGCAGTCTACAAAGTCACATTGTATTTTAAAGGCTTTTTGTCCTAGAAGGATGCATTGTTTTTCTATCCGTGCTCCTGCCGACCACTATGCCAATGAACAATTTTCAGAGCCTTTAAGATTTTTGTTTATAATTGAAAAACTCTGTATGTCATCGAAAAAATGCATGAAATAAAAGTTTTAGTCCCAGATTTCCCGCATATAGTTTTCCCGAATAGTTTTAAGGAAAATATTTTTTTTGTGAAAGCCAAAATAAAACATTTTTTTAATTTATTTTGTTAATACTTCGCGACATTTCACTGCACCCAACTTCTAAAAAATGTGGGTATAAACGTCTACCTTCCTGTCAAATCTGAAGTCGACAGCTGCAAATTTTAGATAACTACTACATTTTATATTATACCACGAAAATCCTGCACACCCTGTTCAATGTGGTGCAGGATTTTCAGGATGCAATAAGCGTTTCAGTGAAGGAAAAGTATTAATTTCTACATTTACGAGACAATCAGAAATAAATTACGCACTTGGTTTTTAGTCGAGTTAAAATCAAGCAAGTGGGCTTCACTTGCATTGAAAAATGGATATTTTTTATTTAAAAAAAAAGAAACAGAGCTAACATTAGGCGCACTTTTATAACAATGCAATAAATAAATATTCCAAAAGCACGTACCTTACTAATTTTAGTAGAACAAATTTCCGAAGAGTTTTGGTAATTTGAGAAAGAGATTTAAACAAACAAATTCAATTTCTATGAGGAATAAGCGAGAGAGGAAATATTTGCTAAAAAATGTTGTAAACTTTTGTGACTACGCTTACATTTTCCATTGCCCCAATCTGGCGGTGTTTGTTCGAATTAACCGGGCGAACAAAAACTCCGGAGTTAAATTTATTCAAACCGTGGCGAGGTAATTTCCGTGAAGGGGGGAGAGATGTGTCCAGATGAACGCCGTTTAATTTTCCGTTAATTACCGTAACAAAAACATCGTCTTGGGCCCTTTATTTGACTAAGCAGTAGTAAAACAAAGGATACTTTTCAAGTTTTTAATTAAAATTACTACCTATTCCGCTTTACTACCTCAAAAATTAAAAATTCTTTTTGTGCGTTTTCCGTTTATTGTGGACCCCTTCCCTCTCCCCCGTGGACGCCATGTTATAAAGTTAATTATGTTCCGGGCTCACACAATAAAAACTTAATTTGTAAGTTTTTCTTTCCGGACAATAAATTATTTTCCGTCCAATCTAAACATTTTTAAATTAAATTTCATCCTGACGACGGTTGCGCTTTCATGTTCGACAAAGGAATCGAGAGAAACTAGATTGGAATCGGACGTTTCGAATCGTTCACGAGTTTGGTAATTATTTTGTTCAACATAAAACTCTGTAATGATAATTAAAATGGAAGAAAGATATTTCCGAATAGTTTCTGGATAGTGTAAAATTCTTTCCAGAAAATAGAAAGCAATTATGCTCGATCAAGCTTTCTACCAGATTCCATCAGCGTTATTGGGAGAGTTGAGATCTTACTAAAAGATCAGCTAACTTCTTATATTAACCAGATCGAATGTCTTTGTGCTGGTCAGTTTGGATTTAGGGGAGGGTGTTCGACGATCCAAGCAGTGTCTAAAGTTGTGAGTGGGATAGTTGAGGGCCTCGAGGGGGGTGAATTAGTTGGTTTGACCTTGTGTGATCTCTCTAGGGCCTTCGACTGTGTTTCTCACCAACTTCTTATTAAAAAGCTATATAGATATGGTATACGAGGTCTGCCCTTAGATCTTATAGCGTATTACTTGCAGGGCCGACAGCAGTTTGTAGAATACCAGGATGACCGTTCATCACTTGAATCAGTAGTAAGCGGGGTGTCACAGGGTTCCATCCTGGGCCCGCTACTATTTACAATATACATAAATGACCTTTATCATTTCATGGCCCCCAATCAGTGCGTGATGTTTGCCGACGATACATCCTTCACTACATCTGCTAAGAGTATCGAGGAGTTGTCCGTTAAGGTTGGCATGTTGGAGGACAGGGCTAATGTCTGGTTCGAAAATAATTATCTTAAATTAAATTTAGACAAGACCCAGAGTATTGTGTTTCCTCCAATAAATGGTGGACAGTCCGTCAAGTTGCTTGGCATTAGGATCGATGATAGTCTAAATTGGAAACAACATATCTCAGACCTGAAAAATAGATTGTCCAGCAACGTATTCGTTCTTCGACGACTGAGAGGCCTGATAGGAACAAGGACTCTGCTTATGGTCTATTTTTCTTTGTTGCATTCGCACTTATGCTATGGCACGGTACTGTGGGGTGATTCCTCAGCTGCTGTGGAGATTTTTAGAATGCAGAAAAGGGCCATTCGAGTCGTTACTAATATAGGATATAGGGACTATTGTCAACCTTGTTTTAAAAAATTCAAAGTGATGCCCCTTCCTTGCATCTATATCTACTACCAGTTATTAGAGATACAGAGAACGAAAGGAAACTTTAGCCCTAATTCTGATCGCCATGGCTATTCAACTCGTTCGGGGGATCTCCTTAGACGGCCTAGGTTTAGACTGAGGAAGTCTGAGAACAATTCATTGAACCTGAAATTGTATAATGTTTTGCCAGATACCGTGAAAAAGATGAGCAATAGAAAATTTAAACATAATATTAAAGAATTTCTACACGTCATTGTTTTTACTCCCTGCGAGCATACATTGACACTGTCACTGGTATCGATGCGCTATAAAACTGTACAGTACTGTCTAATTTTGTTTGTATTAGATGTGTGTTTTTATGTTATTTATTATTTTGATTTTATTGCACTTGAATATCACTTCTGACTTGCTACAATTGTACGTCCCTTTTGTACGAAACGTAGTCAATAAATGAATCTATCTATCTATCTATATTTAGACACCCAAGTTCCTTACGCTTATCCTGGATTCGATAGTTACGACTAAAATACCCAGTACAATTCTATAATGAGAGACACAAAAATTGTTATAAGACGCTAAGCTTTAGGCAACTAGTCATAGCTCACGTAGGTATTGTGAAGATTTGGTCAGGACAATCCAGAGCAACGAATCAAGCAGAAGGAACGACATTTCCACTTTCAAATATTGCCCACCTAGCCATGACGTTTTTTTCTCATTATTTGGTTTCATTTCTTATTACATTATACTTTCATTTCCCTTCTCGTTCTTTCTACTACAATATCTGTGGATCTTTTTGCTCTTTTGCTACAGCTAATGTCCATGATTTCACTTCTAAAAATATATAAAATACATAACAGCGGCATTACTTTCGTCTCCAGTTTAACATTAAAAACATTTAAACATATTATTGATCAAGATGTTTCTTGTTTCTTCTAACCAACGTTTGCTTTCTACCACATTAAAAAATTTGGATATATTACATTTTCTTTTTTTTTAGATTAACCCCAGACGATTTGCAATTATGACAATATCACCTCTATCAGCTTCAGAAATGGTAACTCTTTGATACAAGATTTTATCTGGCCAGCGTTCATTAGAAGAGGCTAGTTGATTTCGTCGACGTCGACGAAACCTATGTTAAGCTACTGCGCCATTACCTGACGTTAGTCTACTTTCGCTAATCCAATCAAAAGAATTTGCATAATCATGGAACGGTGGGTGCCGTTTTCCATTCATTCTTCGATTCATTGAGGTTATTGAAACGGAACAAAATCTGCGTGAACTGCAGTATGGACAACCTGCAAGTGGCAGGAAGGGTCATCTCATAATAAATATAGGGATTTTGTGACTGCATTGAACGGCAATTATAATGCAATGCAAATGATAAAAGTGACCCCTCCTTTTAACATCTACGAAAAAGTTAAATTTTTCAGTTTTAGTAAATTTTTTTTCTACATTTTTGTAAATTTTTGCAGAATCCTGAAGCACGTCAACTTATTTTTAAAAGAAACCACAACTTCGCTATTTCGAAATTTTTATTGACGGATCCCTCTTATTTTTAAGTTCGTTTGGGCGGGGCAACTTAGTATTTTTAAATCACAATAATAATAATATCCAGGACAGTGAATTTGAAAATGGGACCGATCCAATGGCACCACGGTCTCCAAATTTAAAGCCATTAGATTTTTTTTATCAGGACATTTAAAAACGAAGCTGTTCCTAAGATCTCTGAAAGAGCTGTGTGAACGAATAGTAGGTGAATACGGAAGAAGAACCCCAGAGATGTTGGAAAATGTCAGAAGAGCTTTTGAACAAAGGCCCTACTACTGCATTGAAGAAGATGGTGACCACTTTGAGGTTTTGATTTAAATTTTTTGCTACTTACTTACTATTTGTAGAAATCATTTGTAGCATTGAACTCATCGGAGCCAATTATCTCAAAAAGCTAATTAAGGCGCCGCCCGACGCACTTTATCTAAACTCTCGAAGGTGTAACTCTAATCATTATGAAAATAGTACGAACTGAAAGTGGGAAAAATATTATATTTTTTATTTGTTCCATTTTAACTTTTCAAGCAAGCAAGACCTTTAAAAAGAGGCTTCACGAGTAAGTGCAAATCAATCAAAAAATGAAGAAGGAGCCATCTACGAAAATATCAAAATTGCAAACAAAATTAACGTGTTTCAGCGTTGTTTATTTTTTAAATACTTTTCGAGAAAATCAAGGCGGATCCTTTTATAATTTGCACCCTGTATATAATTTATATGTACTTTGTGTTTTCATATAAGTTACACAAACTCTTATAACTGGTTTTATTTTGTTATCAGGCTAGTTCAAATTGTTCGATTTTTCCTTTAGCTTCAGGTTCCACCATACATGTGAGCATTTCCCAAATTTTAAACAGAGGACCCGGGACATTTCCTCATTTTCTTATCTATTCGTGTCTGATTTTTGTATCGGTATATATCAAAACACTTAAGAGATTGTGTTTCTCCTTGCGATTTTTAA